CAGCATTTTGAGGTGTATCTTAGGTCCTGTTCTCAGCCTGTGACTTTATTTACTGACTCCCTAATCTTTTGTCATGTAAGTCATAACCTTGATGCAATGGGCCCTAATGGTACAGGATTTCCATTTAGAAAATTTGCCATAAAAAGGGATTAGAGAAAGTGTTTGCTCATGTCCTGTCCAGACTATAGGTAATTCTTTGGCACATTCATTTCGTTAGTGTTTATTAATAGTGTTTAAATAATTGATTAGTGTGATATAAAATGGAGTTGTATCTTAAGGGGGAGAGTTTTAAAGCACTTGGCCTGGGCTTGCCATGCCCTGCACTCCTCTGGTGTCTACTTATCCATGTGCCTTCTTTTCATGTATGCAAAAATGCTGGCAATTATCCTGTCTACTGACTGGTGGACCATTTCCATGCTTACCTGGAGTTGGCTTTGGTTTCCCATCCGGTGGTTGGTGCATCGCTCTGCCGTTCTACTAATCTCCACCTGCCAGCATGGCTGGATCACAGTGACCGATTCACCTTCAGTTGATGTCTCTCCTTGTTAAAATTAAACCTGGTTGTAACTGACCCAGAGGTCACTAACGGAATACCCTTTTGTGACTGCCTAATTGGCTCAGCATTTGTAATTTATTCTGGTTTAGTTTTGTACTTGTTGAAACTCCTTTTGTTGTCATTTAATGTCTATCTGCTTCTAAATTTATTATCAGATGTAACACTGACCTTTACTTGTATTCCCTTACATTTGCTTTGTAATTAGAAGAACCACTTATTATTTACTCATTTACCATCTGGGTTAAGTTGGTTGACAGGTGGTTGACAAGCTCCTTGGTTGCAAGGCACCATGTCCTGGCTGGCTCTTGGCTTGAGTTTGCCCAATCGGTACATATGTGCTTTGTGCTTCTGGAGAAGGTGTTCGACTGTGTCCCTGGTGGTGGCCTTTGGGGGATGCTCTAGGAGCATGCGATCCAAACCCTTTGCTAAAGGTTGTCCAGTCCCTGTATTTATCAAGCCAGGACCTTCAACATGTAATGAGGTGGTATGAAGTGTGCAGCCTTTGAAGTGATTTGCTTCTTGTATTGGACTTTTGTGGTGAATCTAAAGTAAAAGGAAGACTCACATTCCCAATCTCACCTATGAGCTTTGGATAATGACAGAAAGAATTGTGGATGAACATGGTCAAAATGAGTTTTCTCTGCAGGGTGTTGGTGCCTACAGGGTTAAGGTGAGAAGCTCAGAGGAACTTGGAGTTGAGCTGCTGATCCTCCATATCAAGAGGAGCCAGCTGAGGTGCCTTGGGCATCTGTTCCAGATGCTTTGTGGATGCCTCCTTGGGGAAGTGTTGCGGGCATGTCCCACTGGGGGGAGGCTCTGGAAAAAACCCAGGACATGCTGAAGAGACTATCTCTCAGATAATCTGTGTGCATGGAAAGGGAAGTCTGGGCTTCCCTGCTTAGACTGCTGCATCCATAACTAGGCACGGGATAAAATGAAAGAAGAAACCTTCAATTAGAAGGTGAGTGACCAATTATTTTTTATTATTATTATTTTGGGGTCCAGAGACTAAATGGGATTGGGTTGTAATGGGCTATGATACAGTCATAGGCCAGTTTAGAAATCCTTCTGGGGAATCAGAGTAGCCTGATGTTAGGTAAAGTCTAGTAATGAAGACTTTTGTCCTTGGTTAGATGGGAGATGAATGGCATGTCATGTCAGTGATTTCAACCTAGATGCCATCCCTGACAAAATTGTGTTTATTCAAGCTTGGAACAAAATTAGGTCTTGTTCCACATAATTCAAATGACTTTTGCAACAAGTTGTTTCAAATATAACGTAAGAATATCTAGAATATCTTGAACTTATTTTACTGAATGATTCAGAAGACTGGAGTGTGGTAAAATACCCACTCTCCCTCATCATGCAGACAGTACACCACTGCATGATGACATCCATTGGAGCTCTGTTTATAATGATAAGATAACAGCAGTGGGCCGCTGGGTTGATGGGGCCATATGCATACAGTGTATCTGCGGGTCAAATCTAACAAATTTACTTCTTAAGCTCAGGTCGCTGGAGGGGTTAAAGTGTACCGCTTTGTGCCAACAACAAGTTGACTGGGGCCATAGCAGCCACCGTGACATAACCATCAACCTAGGACTGGTGATACAACAGAATTTATATATCACAATACAATATTTCTTTATGATCATAAATCATCTTTATATAAAAGAACATAAACATAAAATGACAAGATAAAAGAACCCATACACTTGAAACATACTCCAATGGCTTAAAATGGCAACACTCCAATACAGCGTAGTCAACATAAATGTTTCTCACTTTCCTTTAAGTAAATCGCCATAAATACTGTGGCAGGGACTTGGCAATAAGTTTTATATAATCGACGCATTAAAAATATATCATACATTTTTGGGAAGATTCTGTGTTGGTGGAACAACAACACAGTAAGACATGTTCACACTAGAGAAATGCTGATTGAGCCTGCTAAGTGAAGCTGACAATCTCTAAGAATGTCCAATAATGTCCAGTTTACAGAATTTCCCTTGTAACCGTTGACCTCATCCAATACTACTGCCCTTGTTGCACTCTTAAAATGAGCAGACGCTCATCCCTATTAACCTATTGGCTCCATGTCATCAGTAGGCCAGAGAAAAAGCAGGCTAAACACATATTGTAGGGTCTTCTTGAGCAGTAATCACGTATCAGACCTGCTCCCAAACTGTGTGGTCACATGGTTCTTCCAAAGACGTCAGAGCAAACACATAGAACGGAAAAAAGAAATGAGGGCTCCTCAAGTTGTGTGCATGACCTAGTTCCTGTCCTCATCTATCCAACAATTGCATCCACTGTTCTATACAATGAAAGTTTACAATGAAAGTATTTTATTGTGCTGCTTGCAATGCAGTGCTCCAAATTGGTTGCTACTTTAATAATACTTCAAGACTATTCAAATATAAATACCTCATTCTATTCTGAGCAAACCTAGACCAATAAAAGAAGTCTCTATAATAGTCATCTATGAGTGGTGCAGAGAGTAAAAAAAAAAACGAACAGACAAAAAAAACTGCTTATAACATTCACAGTGGGGTCCTTTAAATGTGTTTTTACTTTGCAGTGCACCTATCCCTGAGTTCTCCTGTCCTTTGTTAACTGTACTCTGAGTGACCCCCATGACCCGGACGTGTAAACAGTGATTTGCACCGGTTGCTCCTACTTCAGACACTAACAGCTTTAAAACTTGTGACACACATCAGCTCACACCTGGGTGCTTGTAAAGGAGCAGTTGTGGCAAGTTATGACCCCTCACACAACATTGGAGTTACCAGATGACATGAGAACCTCACTCATGGCCCCAGCAACTTTTGCTCTTAAGTCTAGAAACTAGGAGAATCCATATCCATACAGCCTCTGTGCAGAGAGTGTGTAAAACAGGAGGTCATTAGGTTCATAGAGGTCTTCTTCTAACAAGCTGTAGCTTCACAGGGACCTTCCCCATCATTTTAATCACAACCCACTTTTGGACCAGTTTCAATAATCTATACACTATTGTTCATCTGTGTGTCAAACTTTATGCTGAATGATATCAAAACTGGCTTGTGGTCAAGAATGTTAATGCTTAATGAAGGCACACAGAATGTGCAGTCAATCGTGTTGCAGCTGACAGGCGGACTGTCATGTACAGTAAGGTTAGGACATGGTGAGAATCTCCTATGGACCAGGCTTTGCTCAGTGAACCCAGTGCAATGCAGTGGCAGTGCTCTCAGTGCATTACTTCACTCTGTCTATGCTGTAAATATTTTCATTTTTGGTGTAAGGGTGGGCTTTGGGGAAGGGGCACCACACATTCTAGGTCAGTGCCGTTATGTGACCACTTACTGATGTGACTGTATGTGCTGCTTACATCCCCACTGTGAGTGTAAGTCTAAAGCGAACTAATCTCCTCTTCTCAGGCCTCCACATTATTTTTCCAGCACGGTGGTCTGTGAGCACACATGAATGTGGGCTTGAACTCAGGGTGCATGCATGACTGTGTTTCTTCGCATGTGCCTGGCTGATGTACAGAATAGCTGCGCTCAGAGCCGAACTCACTGACCTGTCAGTCAATCTGGACAGCAGGCAGCAGTCATGAGGTTTGTGTGGCCCATCCTGCGGTCTTTGCAGGTCAGCTTCTCTCAGTGCACCTAATCACATATCTGTCTCTGCAACGTCCCCAAAGGACCACTTTAAAACACACAAAACAAAATTTGATATACTGCAGATTGTACTTTAATAATGTATTTTAATAAAATAACATTTCTTGACCCTTCTATGATGACAAATAGCTTACATTGTGCATTTTGTCAGTTTTCTGCAGGAAATCAAAAAGAAAGAGGAGGCATGGTTTTCTTTGCGCATATAGAGCATTGAGAGGAAACATGTTTTCATACAATGCACTGTGCCAGTTGACTTTGCCAGCCGTGTCTTCAGTATGGCATGTAGCAGGGGTTTGAAGTCCTCTGTCACAGATGTATTCATCAACAATATTAATTGAGCATTTATCATTCTTTGACAGTTTTACAATGGCACATTTGGAAATGCCGATACTAAGGACGAAAACGTAGATTTTTAAAATAATGAAATAATTTAATTCCTGATAGATTTTTTTGCAGTTTTTAAAGAATGTGAATGTATGACTTGAGTATGAGAAGATGCTCTCCTTACTACATCACTGTCTTAACAAAACAGTTTAAAATGATGTGAGAGATTTGAGTCATCCAACTCAAAGGACACAGCGCAAAACACACAAACAGATCGTCCACTGACTACACTGCACTCACTCAAATATTTGCCCACGGTGGCAGTAGTATTTGCATTGCCAAAGTTTCGCTTTTTTTCGTTGCGGGTCGCGCTGAAACACGGTTCAAGCGAACCGCGTCACCTCAGCGGTGGCTTGTGTGTTTATTTATAATGCTGGCCACTTCCTCTCGGTCTATCTGGGGTCATACGATCCTTTCAACGTGGATCCATAAATGAATGGTGGGCTCGACGGCCACACCATGGCGCACAGAGCCCTGATTGGCTCTCTCTGGCTATATATATTGTGGCAAGGTGTGACACTTCCAAGAAACGACAACCGCTAACACAACAAAGAACATCACAAACCTATCAACGATGCGAGCGCAAATACAGAAGGTTCCCCAGATAGTGGAGCTGCTGAAAAAGAAGTCAGTGGGACTGCAGCATTTTAAGCCCACGTCCTCAGTGTGTGTGCTGGAGGAGAAGGATGCTGTGGAGACAGCGCCGCTCTGCCCTCATGCAGCCTCCAGAGCGCATGCTGCGCACAGCCTGGATGCCATTCCTGGTCCTACCAATTGGCCCCTAGTTGGCAGTCTGGTAGAACTTCTGCGTAAAGGAGGGCTCACTAGGCAACACGAGGCTCTGGTACGGTTTGACTACTCTGGATGCATATTTATTTTAGAGAAAATACACATGTGCTTTTTCTTTAATTACCAGCATCGTAACACTGTTTAATGTTCCTTATTTCTTTATTCTTTTTTTTTTCTTCTTCTTTTTTTTTCCTTTTAAGGTTGATTACCACAAGAAATTTGGTAAGATTTTCCGATTGAAACTGGGCTCCTTTGAGTCAGTGCACATTGGTGCGCCTTGTTTGCTGGAGGCGCTCTATCGGAAGGAGGGCAATTACCCTCAGAGACTGGAGATCAAGCCGTGGAAAGCTTACAGAGACCTAAGAAACGAGGCATACGGACTCCTCATTCTGTAAGTGCGAGCAACATTTGAAGAGCACGTAAAATTAGGAAGAGTTTGGACTGAATTGTAATAACAACCCGTTTGACAGAGAGGGGAAAGACTGGCAAAGAGTGAGGAGCGCGTTCCAGCACAAGCTCATGAAGCCCACAGAGGTGGTGAAACTTGACAACAAAATCAACCAGGTGGGCTACATTTTCAAGCTAAGATAACTATTGCAATTTTAGTCTCTTCGTTTCGGTTAAGCTAAAATGTTGGCTAACGATCTGTTTTGTTCTTGTTAAAGGTGTTGGTGGATTTTGTTGGAAGAATTAAAAATATTAACAAGAATGGAAAAATTGAGGATTTGTACTTCGAGCTGAATAAATGGTCATTTGAAAGTAAGTCATATTTTATTTTGTAGCCTAATTATAAGTTAAGAAGAGGTTACTAACTGGTCCAACCTCAACAGGTTGGACTTATGTCTTAAATATGCTACATGTTTTTTTTAGCAGTGCTTTAAGCACTCTGATTCATTTACTTATCATATCATGTTTATTTAATAAATCCTGCTCTCGAATACATTTTTTTGTTAATTGTACTAACTCAGTTTGTTTTGTTTGTAGCGATTTGCCTGGTTCTGTATGACAAGAGGTTTGGTCTTTTGCAAGAGAAAGTCAACGAGGAAGCTATGAACTTCATCACAGCAGTGAAGACAGTGAGTGCAAACACTTTCCTTTGCACTGACTACAGAGGCTAGTTCAGCAGGTTCACGCAGGGCCGAGGTCAGGTGAACTGAGCTACCCATCAAGCTTTCTGATTGTATTTACTTGGATTTACTGGGGCAAACCAATAACACACAGAGAAGAGATAAGGGGTGACAGGGGTAATGGGTGCAAGGAACAAAAGGGGTCTAGTGATTGAATCTTGTTTCTTATATTGTTTCTTCTCTGTAGATGATGAGCACTTTTGGCATGATGATGGTGACACCAGTGGAGCTTCACAGGAGTCTCAACACTAAAACATGGCAGGATCACACAGCAGCTTGGGACCGCATTTTCAGCACCGGTAAGCATGGATACAGTTTTTTCCACTTATTTCCAGTAAGAGGTAGAAGTTGTTCATCCTTGTTAGTCATCAGTCGGGTGAACATAAAGTTCTGTAGTAAAACAGATGTGGGAGATGTGTGCCAAATATTTGGACTATCTGGAGCCATAAGAAACCATATGCTTCTTCACAGTTTCCTCAAACACACATAGGCCTACATTAAGCTATGGAATGTATACAACATTTTACATAGAAAACAAATCTTGGCACATAGAGGTAAAATCATTTAAAATTGACCAAAGCTCCTCCTACTGGTTGAAAATGATAAAGTAGGCTTTTTCAAGGTTGCTCTCACAGAATATTGGACCGGTAGAATCAGGAAGGGCATCTGTAGTAAAAACACCTGCCTTATACACTTGCTAATGATTTGCTGTGGATTCCTCATTAAGGATAACACTTTTATGTTAATCAGAACATTGTGATATGTATTAAATACTTGATGCCTTCCATAACCGACCTTAAACTGTGTCTTGACTTTATTGCTTTTCTCCTCAGCCAAAGTCTACATCGACAAGAAAATGAAGAGGAACACAAACCGAGCACCTGATGACTTAATTGGTGACATCTTACATCACAGCTGTCTTTCCAAAAAGGAGCTGTATGCTGCCATCACTGAGCTCCAGATCGGAGGAGTAGAGACGGTTAGTAGCATTCATAAACTACTGCATATAACACATTTTCACACTTAATAATTAACCTTATTCACCTTACTTAGCCATAATAAGGCATGAAGAAAGACTTGTTTTATTAAAATGATTCAGACTTACTTAATTAATTAACACTAACTCCTAATCTTAATTAAGTAAACTAGTTACTTAACTGGAAACATTCTAATGGTTTGTTCATTATGAATCAAGTATTTCTCATGTAGTTATCAGCCAGTGCACCAAAACTTAAGTCTATTTCCTTTTAGGTCAAAAAGGTGTATGTATATAAACAGGTGCTGTTGTTACAGTCCCTTGAAAATGAATGTGGTGCAAGTGTAACTGAGCTCCTTTTAGGACCCCTCAGTGGAATGCACTCTGAGTAACTGCTTTACTAAGTGACATCTCTCTCTGCTTCATTTCCTCCTTGGCTTCCCCGTTGGCTTCCACGGCACCGTTCTTGAACTCGTCGTGTTTACGTTTCTCAGACCGCCAACAGTATGCTGTGGGCTATTTTCAACCTGTCACGTAACCCTGGCGCCCAGAGAAAGCTGCTGGAGGAGATCCGAGCTGTGGTGCCCCCAGACCAAGACCCATGTGGAGAGCACATCAAAAGCATGCCCTACCTCAAGGCCTGTCTCAAGGAGTCCATGAGGTACAGTAGAGCACTCACACTTCCACATTCCAGAAATCAGGAAGCTGAAAGGGTGATGTCACACAGGGGAAAACATTTTATTATCCAGTCACAGGGGGCAATAGCTTAGTCAAACGAATTAGGCAAGCCAAGGCCTGCTAAGAAGTGAATCATTTTCAACCCCCGAAAAAAAAAAAGGCAAACAAAAGGTTAGAGGCAGCCATATTTCTAATCTGTTCTAATAATTTTGCTCTCATGGGTCTGAATTAAAGACTGTTCCTGAAAAGACACATAAAAGGCATTACTCTCAAACATCTGCAGCTTGAGGAACTCCAAAAAAATAGGACCCCTTTTGATCATTCATGTTTCATGTTTGGTGACATTTTCACATTGGTTTATTTGATCAGATTAAACTAAAGGCATATATTTTCTCACAATCACTGAGAGCAAAGTGTTTCTGTTTACTGATAGTAATTACATGATAAAGGTGCAGGTCTCAGAATGCATAAAAGAACAATTAAGCTACATCCTAGTAAAATGTAAGTGACTATATGTATCTATAAAAATATCCACACAGAGTACAGTAAAATCTGATTACTGTAAATGGTCAGCAGTTTTACATCAATCTCAGACTGTGGTTTATCCACTATCTCATCGACATATGACTATCTCCAAAAATGTGCTCTTTCAGAGTAAAAGTAGCATGACCACTTATGGCTTAAAATGGCCCCACCTGGTCACGTTCACGTTCTTGTCCTCATTTGCTTTTTGATCTTGTGCAGTCACAAGTTGCCTGACATGTTATTTAAAGCTAATACTTTAACCATATCACCAAGGGAATGTATATGACCTGTGACTGGAGATTATATCACCTCATATGGCCTTGTGAAAAACATGTTTAGCTCCCCTTCTGCTTAACTACTTATACATGTATGTGGCATGCTACACTATTGCTCTACAGAGGCCATATATCCATGTGCTTTTGTGAATTCTTACAGGTTGTCGCCATCAGTCCCATTCACAAGCAGGACTCTGGACAAAGACACTGTGTTGGGAGATTATGCCATTCCCAAAGGAGTAAGTGGCTTGTGGCTTAGTTTTATACATACTTATAATTATTCATTTGACTAAGGGATGGGAATTACAAAACTATTGCATGCATTACAAAATAAATCACTAACAACAGTGGACTTTCAACTTGTAATACGATTTAAAGTGTACATTTTAATTTACCATTTGTGCTACTTTTTAATTATCCCTTTGTCCATTCACAGACAGTTTTAATGATTAACAGTCATGCACTGGGCTCCAATGAAGCGTACTTTGATGATACCAAACAGTTCAAGCCTGAGCGATGGCTGCGGGAGACTAGCACCATCAACCCTTTTGCCTATGTGCCCTTTGGCATTGGAAAGAGGATGTGTATTGGACGAAGACTAGCCGAACTACAGCTGCAGCTAGCAATGTGTTGGGTAAGAAATAGCAGACCACATTGGTTAGAATGGCAGTGCCTTTAATCAAACTAGATATTTTTACGAATGTGCAAAATACAACATATACTTGATGAACTGTCAATATTCACAAATATGTGTTTGGAAGAAAACACACCTTGCTCACACCTAGCTTTATTAGTCTTTCCTTATTTGGTTACAAAACAAAACCCACAAAACAGTACAAAACACATGAATAAGAATTACAAATATTAGCCTGTAAAAATGCTCTTCTAGTTCATCATAACTGAAACAAGGTTAATGTCATGTGTCAATTTGAAAGTCTTGTACAAGTACAAACAAAATTACTTTCAGATTAAGCAAATTGAATTTAACTTGGAATAAAAATAGCTACTATTAGCCTTGCATAACTCAAAGCTATATATATATATTCTAAAGTGTGGTCACTTGATGTGGTTGAGTGGACTCACATACCCACTGCTTTCTTTCTATAGCTGGTACGAGACTTCGAGATTGTGGCAACTGATAATGAGCCCCTGGATGTGATCCACTCTGGACTTTTAGTTCCCAACAGAGAGCTGCCTGTTGCCTTTATCAGGAGATGAGGTATTGTGAACTGTATATTTAGAAGTAAGATGTAAATCCTGCAACCAGAAAGTAAAACTATTACTTACACATTGTCTGTTCCACCAGGCTGAATCTTGCTGACATGAAGACAACATCACTGTTGCTGATGGTCATGTGACTCCTCACTTTGCTGCTCTGTAAATAGAAAAAACAAAACAACAAAACAAACAAACAAACAAACAAAAAAAAAAAACACACACAAATGATTTTAGTTTTTACCACAGATACCTCAGTCCTATTTAAGACTACTTTGTAGACTACATTCTATGATTTGTTATGGCTGACCAAAAAGTGAATGTTGCACCTAGGCAGCTTTCCCCAAATCTTATGTAAACACATCACCTCACTAATATGTACATAAATAACCATTGTTGAGTGTACTGTATATATTGTAGTTTATTTTTCACTGTGTGTATATACATGGTACTCTGTATTATAGTACATTGTTTTACATAGAAGCTATTTTATTCAAATGATTTACAGCATGAATAAATGTATTAACTATATTCTGTGATGGTTTCATTCCAAGAATGAGAATTACCATTCTGGTATTAAGGGGATTAAAAGGTTTACAACTAGACTGTAAAAGGTAATTAAACAGTGACTTATATAGCTGAGAAACAACAGCTTAGTCATTGCATATGTACATATATCTCCAAAAGCTGATTTTACTGTATTAAACACATTAGAATAAGGTCCTCTCTACTGCAAATGCAAACTTTCTGAAGTTACTTTAAAGCATTATGAATATAAGTATCCTAAAGCATTCCCACTGTCCTGTCTATATGAAATGATTTTGAATTAAAATGCAATCTTTTTTTTCTTTTAGAATAAAAACACAACAAATAAGACACTACAAATCACTTTCCATTGCAGATATGTATAATACTTCACTACTAATTTTTTATCTGTCCAACACTTCCCCCTTGTGGTCTATTATAAAATCCAGGTTGTATTGGTTGTAATGTTTTTCTTTTTTTTATTATTATTTTTTTTTTTATTAAATAACTAAAACAGGAAAAGCCTCAACATGAGATACGGGAAACAATAAAAATCTCAGACGTGAGTCCAAGACACAGAGTAGCACACAGAACGAGTGGAGGAACATTAGTCTTTACAAAAGACATCACACTGAGCAGTTCAACACAAACAGGCTCATGTAAATAATAATATGATCATGACATTATGATCATACACATAGTAATAGAATCATATATGAATACGAATAACAACGGATCATCAAACTGATCCATGTCCATCACATGAGGACAGTGTAACTCAACATGAGAAAGAATAATCCACAAACAGGATCAATAAAGTTTCAGGTAAATGTCACAGAACACACTGTTCCATAGATTCTCCAGTTCCTCAGGAGATGAAAATAATGAAATATCCACAAAAAGGATGAGCCCAAGTCAGATCAACATGATCTGGAATAGAGCTTCTCTGAATGAGAAGGACAGGAGATGAAAATAACACTATAACACATTTTTACAAAAAACATGAAATACAAAAGTAGCCATTAAAAGGGCCAAAAAGGGGTGTTCAATAACAATGACCAACATGGTCTGCTCAGTCAGTCTGTAGACTACTTATTTCCATTAGAAACACAACAGTCCAAACACTAAACATTTTTCTATTAGAAAACATTCTTAAAGACACCTCAAAAGTAAGTCCAAGAGGACTGAAAATAATATCTTCTGTTAAACTGCAGAAGAAAATGGAAGAAAATGGATGGATAAAATGCAGAAAACAGAATAGCACGCTGTCTGGAGATTCTACCATGGCCTCCAGGGAGCACTGTTCTCTGGTCTCTTGTCTTTGCTGGTGCTGCTTTGTAGACAGAAGAGCGCCTCCCTGTGGTTGTGAAGCTCAGTGCAGTGGCTCTGCTGAGAGTTCTTCATGAGGCTCTGGGACAGGAAGTGTGTTTTGTTCTGCTGCTGCAGACGTGTGAGCACAGTGACGGTCATCTCCAGGACGTCTGCTTTCTCCAGCTTGGAGTCTGGCTGCTGTTGGAGGAACTCTGCACACAGGAGAGACTTGAGCTGCTCAATGCTGCTGTTGATCCTCTCTCTGCGCAGCTTCTCCACCACAGGCTTTCTCAGCTGCAACAACAAGACACAAAATGAGTTCATTTGTTCCTCAGAAATGACTGACTCAAACTGTACAGGCCTCATAAAAGGCTGAGTAGAAGAATGAAACTGTGTTTACCTTGTGAGAGAGGCTGAGGTGGTCCTGAGAGAGGCCTGTTGCTGCAGTGATTGTAGGAGCCATGTGTGGATGTGAGCTGTAGAGCTCTGTGGAGAGAGTCTGCTGTGTGCTCCTTCAGCTTCATATTTATAGAGCCACATCTCCATATGAATGTGTGAGTCTAGGACTGGGACTAGTTTCTCACACTCTCAGCCAATCAGAGCACAGACAGCAGAGAAAGCAATAGTTAGCCAGGGCCATATGCTCAGTGGTCATTAAAGAGGAGGACAATGTCTTTGTCCCAAGGGACGAGGAGGAGCACACGGAGCTCTGTGTGGATCTGGGAAAGTGGTGACCCATTGAAACTCTGCTCCTGAGCACGATCAGTGATCAATGAGTGTACACACGCTGCTCTATCTCCACACTTCTGCCTGCACGTGGGCTACTGTACAGATCTTTACTACTCCTCATTATAACACACAAGAAATGCCTGAATATAGTAGCAGCACTATGTACAGATTTACTTAAATATATTTGTTTCCTTGATGTGAGTCTGGGCCTACTAGGGTGGCTCAAGGTGCTGCAAGTTGGCCTGCAAAGGTTGTTTACACATAAATAGGAATAAGAAAAATCCAAAGTTTCACAGGTCGTCATCTAGACAGTGTTTTTGAAGTCAACATGTTTTGGCTCATATCCAAAAGTTCAAAAACAGAATTCATATGACTACTTCTGAAACCTTTTCTACCTTGGACGACTCTTAGACTTAGACAAACTTTACTGATCTACAAAGAAAATTATTTGTGTACAGTAGCAGACTGATCACAATATGATAAAATAACAAAGAACTTTTTTTTTTAAAAAATGGAATAATAAAAGAAAAAATAAACTCCTAGATGAATCAGATGTTACACTCTCACAATTAAAGGCATAGTTTTTGAGAATGTTACTTTGAAGTTGCAAGCCTTTTTCTATTGAAAATGGACTTAAATACTGTGTTTTAAATACAGCATTATGTTTCCATTATTATAATTACAGAATTTTTCTGCATGTATCCAGTGTCAGTGAGGCAGATGTGTGCTGGGCTGAGGAGCACTCATCTCTCTCTTTCCCACACTTACTCTGTTAATGGAGCTCACAAAAGAACCACAGGCCTCAGTCACTAACCATCTGGACACATGCCAGCATGGAAATCTGAGGATGTCTGAATCTTTCACAAATGAGGTTCTAACTATTTACACAAGCAGGTAGTGGCCCATTCCTCAAAAAGTTACATACATAGTGAGTCTTTAAGTCTACGTTAAAGGGCCCACATTATGCTATTATCTTATCTATGTTATAATGTTGCTTCATCACAAACATACTTGGAATTGTGTTTTGTTTAACACACAATCCCTGCATATTTAGACTGAGTTCTTCTCTCAAATGGGAAACACAGGAAGGGCTCCACTGTGTTTTTAAACTACATACATCTTCACTAGAATGTGAATAAAAGAGAATTAAGGATTGCACTATTGTTTTGTGTAAGTAATTATGAATACTTGTAAAATTGTGATTTTTTTTTTTTTCATAGTAATGGTTATATCATGACATCCTTATCACTGATGTTTTTGAATGGTACAGTTGGCTTCGTCCTAAAGTACTGTTCAAAGTTCTGCTGACCAGCAAGAGGAGCAGTCAAGAGCATCTTCCATTACTTAATAAAGTTCTACAACAAAATAAACGTATCTATTGTTGATGTCTGTTCAAAATTCCTCTAATTTCCATGTTTGGTTTCTTGCCATTCAGAAGGCTGGATACAGACATGTGGGTGTTGAGGCTGCTTCTTGCTGTGTGCTTATAATTTGTTAACATTTAATTAGTTTAGGTCATAAAAAACATAATATAGGCTACTGGGTGTACTGTTAATAACCATACCAGCAATAATGGACTTGGTTTGTACTGGAATGGGTGACTGCTACAAATACCAGGAGCTGTAGTGGAGCAGCAGTGGATTTAGTGTGTACTGTTTTTGTGTCCTTAGGCAAGAAACTTCACCCACCCTACCTCCAGAGTTGGTGTACAACGGTGTATGAATGAGAGAGTGTTTATGAGAGGAAATTAGCTCACTGTTACAGTCTGGCATCTTCTCTTCATTAACATCCACTGTCCTGACCAAATGAACAAATAATATACATTTCTGTAAAGTAGTTTTATTGGAGATAACTAGGTATGTAGACTATATGCAATGTATGCTGGGACATTTCATCCAAGCACTACACTGATCAGAATGTGAATAAGGACACTTGAATGGATTTGAGGAGCTTTAATGCTCTTTCTTGTATCTTTCTGTCTGGTAATCTATCCTTTCAACTGGTTATCTATAAGAACATTTAAATTGTATTACCTCCTGAAATTACACACACATATAAATCAGTCTATGAATAACTGTTAAAAGAGTTACATCAACAATCACACAGAATAAGTAATTAAATCAAGTTAATCAAGTTAATTAGCGTCAAAACATTAAATAACAATTGAAAAAACAATTAGATCAATATTTACAACCCCACCTCTGTCCCTCATGCAGACCTAGATTTGTTAAAGGTAATGATCTGAAGATACAGCAAACAGTACAGCAGTAACACCATTACCATGGTGCTCCTAAGGACCCCTGAACAAATAAAGTTACTGAACTATCAGTTATACTAGGGAATTTACAACAAATTTATTTTAATTATTTATTTTTAACATTTAAACTGTGGATACTTAATTTCAACTTTAAATTTTCTGGTCTTGTACTGATATTGCTGTGTATAGTCCTGTTAGGCTCAATGAGTGAGTTTTTTTCTGTCCTTACACTTAGACTCAACAACCACATCAGTCTGAGTGAGTGTCACATAATATGAATAAATCCAGAGGAGAGGGAACCTAGATCCAAAGTTGCTTCATCTTTTCCTTGTATGTGAAAAATTATGCACTCTTACAGTGTGTTAATCTTAAATATTTATTTATTCCGCTATGAATAAAGCCTCAACATGAGATACAGGAAACAATAAAAATCTCAGACGTGAGTCCAAGACACAGAGTAGCACACAGAACGAGTGGAGGAACATTAGTCTTTACAAAAGACATCACACTGAGCAGTTCAACACAAACAGGCTCATGTAAATAATAATATGATCATGACATTATGATCATACACATAGTAATAGAATCATATATGAATACGAATAACAACGGATCATCAAACTGATCCATGTCCATCACATGAGGACAGTGTAACTCAACATGAGAAAGAATAATCCACAAACAGGATCAATAAAGTTTCAGGTAAATGTCACAGAACACACTGTTCCATAGATTCTCCAGTTCCTCAGGAGATGAAAATAATGAAATATCCACAAAAAGGATGAGCCCAAGTCAGATCAACATGATCTGGAATAGAGCTTCTCTGAATGAGAAGGACAGGAGATGAAAATAACACTATAACACATTTTTACAAAAAACATGAAATACAAAAGTAGCCATTAAAAGGGCCAAAAAGGGGTGTTCAATAACAATGACCAACATGGTCTGCTCAGTCAGTCTGTAGACTACTTATTTCCATTAGAAACACAACAGTCCAAACACTAAACATTTTTCTATTAGAAAACATTCTTAAAGACACCTCAAAAGTTAGTCCAAGAGGACTGAAAATAATATCTTCTGTTAAACTGCAGAAGAAAATGGAAGAAAATGGATGGATAAAATGCAGAAAACAGAATAGCACGCTGTCTGGAGATTCTACCATGGCCTCCAGGGAGCACTGTTCTCTGGTCTCTTGTCTTTGCTGGTGCTGCTTTGTAGACAGAAGAGCGCCTCCCTGTGGTTGTGAAGCTCAGTGCAGTGGCTCTGCTGAGAGTTCTTCATGAGGCTCTGGGACAGGAAGTGTGTCTTGTTCTGCTGCTGCAGACGTGTGAGCACAGTGACGGTCATCTCCAGGACGTCTGCTTTCTCCAGCTTGGAGTCCGGCTGCTGTTGGAAGAACTCTGCACACAGGAGAGACTTGAGCTGCTCAATGCTGCTGTTGATCCTCTCTCTGCGCAGCTTCTCCACCACAGGCTTTCTCAGCTGCAACAACAAGACACAAAATGAGTTAATTTGTTCTACAGAAATGACTGACTCAAACTGTACAGGCCTCATAAAAGGCTGAGTAGAAGAATGAAACTGTGTTTACCTTGTGAGAGAGGCTGAGGTGGTCCTGAGAGAGGCCTGTTGCTGCAGTGATTGTAGGAGCCATGTGTGGATGTGAGCTGTAGAGCTCTGTGGAGAGAGTCTGCTGTGTGCTCCTTCAGCTTCATATTTATAGAGCCACATCTCCATATGAATGTGTGAGTCTAGGACTGGGACTAGTTTCTCACACTCTCAGCCAATCAGAGCACAGACAGCAGAGAAAGCAATAGTTAGCCTGGGCCACATGCTCAGTGGTCATTAAAGAGGAGGACAATGTCTTTGTCCCAAGGGACGAGGAGGAGCACACGGAGCTCTGTGTGGATCTGGGAAAGTGGTGACCCATTGAAACTCTGCTCCTGAGCACGATCAGTGATCAATGAGTGTACACACGCTGCTCTATCTCCACACTTCTGCCCACACACTTATGGTACATTTGAAGCTTCATCATGTCTGGATGATACTGTGCAATCTTAATAACTTAACTTAACTTTCATTGGATCTACATGATGAGTTTTTAAATTCCTCATTACTCATGGTCCTTGCTTCTATTATGGATGTGAGAACATGATGATGATTTCAATATTTAAGTTGTTTTTAATTGGATTAAATTTGTTTATATACTATATTATATTATAAAGTACATTCCAGTTTCAGTAAGTATTATAGATTCAATAAATTGTTTGGAATTTAAAAAATGTATTTTTAATAGTTATTGTACATGTATCCAATGTCAGTGAGGCAGATGTGTGCTGGGCTGAGGAGCACTCATCTCTCTCTTTCCCACACTTACTCTGAATGGAGCTCACAAAAGAACCACAGGCCCAGTCACTAACCATCTGGACACACAAGTATACATGTCTTTACTGCCAGTGATTACAGATAAGATACAAGTCAAGACA